CTTGAGTTCTGCTCTGCGTTTAACTCCCTTTCTGGCTCAAGGACAACACTTTCATAGCTGCCCTTGGACCCACTTATTGAAATCTAATGCCATCCCCACCTGTGGATATTACCTCAGGAAATCCTTGAACCCATCCTCTCTTCTCCACTTCTGCCTCTGCTGCGCCACTGACTTCAAACCACCCCCCCCCCCGTCATCCTCTTGTGCCAACTTGGAGTGAACTGGCTGACAGAAAACAAGGACTCTGCCCCAGAATCTCTGCTCCTTGGATTGGTCCCTAACTCCCAGAGTCCTTTCAAAACGCAGAACCGCAATGATACCGGGTTTCCTTCAGAGAACTTTTGCAGTGACTCCCCGCCATCTTGATGACGCCATCCGAACCATCTCATAGCACACCAGGTCTGTGCTCCTCTCCTCTTCTCCCGCCACTTGCCGTCCTGTTCTCCAGATCCTCACTGCTTCTGCTCCCCTCCATGTGCCTTCTCCATAGCATATGATGAAGGTTGCATCCCCCAAGAAGTGGGAAAATTCAAGGTGGGAGATTTGTTGGCCAGTGCACTAGGCTCAACTGTTGTGGAAGGGGCCGTTTGGGACAGGAGATGAGCTGCGCTGACTCTTGACAGAACTCAGCCAATGCTTCAGCACATTTGGAAGATGGGTTTGGAAGATGTGAGGGTTTTTGAAGCTTTGTAAAGCTATCCCAACAGGTGTGCAAGGGCCAGGAAATGAGACAAGGTGGCTCTTCAATTAAGGCAACTTCTAAATGAGACTGGCAGCTGAAAACTGCCAGACATGAAGGTCATAATGTGTTTACACATCACCATGGCATCGAATCTAAAGCCAGCGAGTGCATTATATCATGATTGGCTCAACCACAATTCCAAGTCTCCCAGAAAGGGACTTTAGGACAACATCCTCTCTCTACAGGTGGGGAAACAGCCTCAGAGAGAGTCCCAGATCAGTTACACGGGGACATAGTCTTATCATAAATGGCTAATACTTGAATGTCTACTTTACACTAAGTTGTTGCAGATGCTTTGAGTGCCTTGTCTAGTTAAGTACTCAGGAATATTTTATGAGGTGACTACTACTATTTCTTCATTTGACAAATGTGGAAACAGGTTTAGAGCAACCAGCAGAATCATTTGCTTGAGATCATGCAACTATTACGTGGTTGATATCGGATTTGAACCCAGGTTACTCTAACTCTAGAGCCTGTACTAGAAACCAACAGAACTTATTACCTTTTCTTAGGGAAGCCAGTATCATCCTGGCATTTGTGAGATACCAAAGAGTGTGTGTGTGTGTGTGTGTGTGTGTGTGTATTGCCATTATTTGTAGGGATGACTATAACACCACCGCCACAAACACAACACTTATTTTCTGTTTTCTGGGCAACAGGATAAACAAATGTACCTTCAGATAGAAAATGTTTCCTATTAACCACAAAATAGAGTATCCTGAAGTGATTTTCAGCCTCTGTGTCCATTCCATGCTAGTTTCTGGGAGTGGGCCTCATTCCTTCAATAGCTCTGGTTGCTCTCCAATAGAAACCTTGACTTCCAACCAAAGGTGTGCATTTAAGTGTCCTTCAGCAAATCTGAAGTCCCTAGGGCCCACTTAGCTGGCCAGAGCCACCAGGCTCTGCTTCCACCTGGCCAGTGAGTCACTAGTCTCCCACAAGCTCCAGGGACTGGGGAGACTGTTGGAAGCTGTTGGGGAAGAATGGAAAACAAGACAGGAACTAAAGTGAAATGAATTGTCTCTATATATTTTTTATTATTTAAAATGTGGCTCTTGTTCTATGCAGAAGAATCTCTCTTCTAAGAACAATCATGTGGCTGAGTAACAGGTGAGTAGCGGCTCAACACCTCTTCCCAAAGCCAGGGAAGAAAGGGAGGTGAGAATAGAGAAGCGATGGGGTAACTGTACTTGCCCCTTTTAAGGATAAGAAAGCAAAGCAAAATAAACAAAAAAGAAGAAGAAGAAGAAGAAAAAGAAGGGATCTGTTAAGGTGACTTCCCAGGCTGAGGCTCCCAGGGAAGCAGCCAAGCTACTGGAGAGTGTGCCATAGGAGAGAGTGTCCTGGGACCCTGGACTGGGAGCTTTGTCTCCTAGAGTTATACCACCTTCTCACTCACTCCCCAGCTGCCACCCCTGAAACTGCAGCCAGAACCACCCACACTGCAGCCTTAGGGCCACTGGGCAAACAGAGGATTCAAAAGCCTAGGAAATGAAGTATACAGAGGCGATGCTGGGAAGGAAGGGAGGGAGGGAAAGAGGGAGGAAGGAAGAGGGAGAAAGGAAGAGGGAGAGAGGAAGAGAGAGCACTGGGGTCTGAGTGCCAGCCCACCAGGTGAGACACCCTTAGGAGGAGACAAAAGAAAGTAAAAAGGGGAGGAAGGATGTGGAGAGAAGGCAGAGCCCAGAGGTAGAGGAGCCGTGGAAGGTGTGGCAGCTTGGAGAAATGGAAGTGCCGGTTACCCTCTGGTCTCAGCAAAATTTGAATTCACCTCAAGGGCCCTAAATCCTGCATGGCCCGAGCTATGCTCAGTTCAGGGACGACACTGCCAACTCCTTTCCTGAGCTCCCACCTGCTGTTCAGCCCCAGCAGACCAGTGTCCTGTCCTAGGGCCACACTGGTGTCTAAGGGAGCTGTGGGTCCCCTGTTAAGGGCGATCACGGTTGGGGGGGTGCTAGAGCAGCACGTGCCTTAGGAGAGAGTGTCCTGGAGTGACCCCAACCTACCCAACTTCTCCAGAAATCTGTTTGCAGCTTTCTGCATCTGGAGGGTGCACCACTTATGCCTGAGTGAGGAAGGGGAAACCGTCACTTTGCAAGACTATTTAATCCTCTAGATGTCTCAATTTTCTTTGACTACAAGAGACTTATTCTAAGTCAAAAGAAGGAGAAATAATGACTTATTCTGGGCCCTGTAGTTGCACAAAATCCCAAACACCTCTGACATGGACAAGTTACCCATTGGGAAATTCTAGAAAGCGGAGCCGTAGGAGACATGAACTTTAGGGGTGTCAGGAGACAAATTCCTAACTGAAGCAGAAGGGGTAGAGCCTCAGTGCAAGCAGCATTGGGACAGAGTTGGAAAAGTGTGTAATAAGCCTAGTGTGTGTGGAGAAGGTGGTGGTGTCTCAGATTTCCAGGATGAATTCCTCCCCAATGCATCCCTGGCACCCCACCCCACCCCCCATCCACACTGGGGGGGGGGCTGCCACCCTCTGCCCAATGTGTCCCCACACCCATCATTTGCTGGGTTTTTTCTTCTTTTCCTTTTTTGTTTGCTTGTTAGTTTTTCAGTCCTTCAAATACAAGCCAAAAATACATCTCACTTATCATCATAGATATATATATTTCACTCTCACCACATAAATACAAAACATCCAAATAGCCAAAACATTCAGAACAAAGTTAGTAGCCAGGAATCAGCGACACCTACCCGCGTTGGAATCGTTCATTATTTTCTTCACTATTTGCCTTTTTTAAAAAAAGGGGAGGGGAGTTCCAACGTAAATAATTTACAATAAAATTACTATTTTTAAAATGCTCTGCGCTCACTTCGGATGGAGGAATACATTCTAGACACTGCGGCGGCTCGCCGGCTGGGTCTGTGGTTTTGGTTAAAATGCAGGGGCCGTGGCTGGGCAGGAAGGGAGGACAGTTGGTCAGTCGTCCTTGCTCCAGGAAAGGGTGAGAAAACAGCCAGAGTCCCGGTCCGGGTTTCTGACTTCGGGCCACGGAAATCCTGGGGTTGAGGAGGCAAGGGGTGCCTTTCCGATCCATGCAGCCAGCTCATCTGGATGTGAGACCAGGCTCCTCTGTGCCCCGAGGCTGCCTCCCTTCCTGCTGGTCCAAAAAGATCTGCCTTGAATCCCAACATTTCCCGCGTGATGGAAGGGAATTAGAATCCGGGGGTGGGGGAGAAAAGGCAATAAGAGCTCGCTGGTTACCCCAAATCCAGCAATTCTGGCTGGAGCCAGGTGCCTGGGAGACTTGGGGAGAAGGTTCTGCAGTCGGAGAGGCGGTGGGCCGCTGGGGCTCTCTCTTCTGGAGGAGGATGAAGCTATTGGCCACAGTCCGAACAGCCTCCGAGAAGATTCTGAGTTTTCTTTGCTAAGTGGCAAGGCTCTGGTCTTGCTTTTCCCCTTTAAATTCCTGTTTAAAGTCACAATACCCAGAACTTGGACTTTGTTTTGCCCCTGGCACATTCTTTATCCTGAAATTTCTTACACCTTCCAAACTCCATTGTTATGCGTCTTGAAAAACTGGTTCCATTTTGTCTAGTTTTGCGGTAGTTATTATTCTTGTTTTATTACTGATGAGACCAAATTTATTACCACTGTTGTCTATGTGATGTTTGGTGCCTGGAGTCTATGATGGCTGTGGTTGGAGTTTCTCTTGAAGGGGCGAAAATGCAGCAGGATCTGTCCTGCCTGGAGGCTGTGTGTGCAACGCTCTCCTGAGAGTTCTGCAAAACGGGGCCCAGAGACTCCCCAGAGCCTTGGTTTCTCTGGAGAGGAAAGAACGGTCCTTTTTTTTTTTTCCTTTTTGGTCTAACGAAACGTGTCAGCTTTTCCAGCCCCTGGGGTCTGCGTGCAGCTTTTCTCTTTCGCATATTCAAAGAATAACTAGGCAGCAGCCCGGATCGACAGCAGGTGTGGCATATTGTGCTTTGGGCTGAGAACCAGTCTTTGCCCTCCAGCCTGGGCATTCGTTGGGGCATCAGGTTGGTTAACTCGGCATTTCCCCCAATTCTTTGGATTCTCCTGGATTCCGACGGAAGTTTAGGGGAGGGAGAAATGGAGGAAAAGTAGGAAAAACGAGATAATATTGGTCACAGAGCCTGGTGCAGCAGGAGCGCTGACTGTCAGAGGCCTCGTGGGAGCCGGGAGCCCCGCGCAGGAGCCCCGAAGCCTTACGTGTGCGTCCATAAATATCACCACAATAGATACTATAAATATAAATACAGGGAAACACTTATAAAGTCAGTCCATCGCCTTTTTCTCGGCCCCTTCTTTATTGTTGGTCCGGGAGTAAGGCTCGAAGGCCGAGGAGCTCAGATATCGGGCGGAGAGTTCTTGCAAATTGCCGGCGAGGGAGCCGGCCATGGTCAGCGGGGCGGAGGACAGTCGGCTGGCGACGGAGCCGAGCAGCGAGGGGACCGGCAGGCTGAAGAGGCCGTGACCCGCGGCCGGCGCGCCG